AATAAGTTTAAATTATGGGTACAAAAAAATGCTGAAGGCGTTACTAGCCCTTGTAGCATACGAGGTGTGTGTATGTGCAATGGCCTGGACCGGGACAGCTTGTCATGGCATGGAGAAGCCCGACCTGCTCTTGTCACTCATATTGCAGACCTGAACCCACAAACCACAGTGTTGAGTTGGGGCTCTGGTCCCTCTGAGACTGACCTGGCTCCAGCCACAGGTGCGTGCGGTCCACGGGATAACAGGGAGAGAGCCAACCCTTGATTCCCTGCTGTTCCCTAGCAGGATGGTGCCTTTCCCCAGGGCGTGGGTGGCCCTGTATGGTGCCCAGGGCAGACCTGGGGAGCAGCTGCACCAGCGGGTTGGGGCTCTGTGAGACGGCGGGAGAAAATAGACACAGCCCAGCCCAACCGCTGACAAAGCGCAGATGGGTTTGGATACTTGCAGGTGTTTGTGAAAGTGGTGCAGTGCCTACCGTAAGGGCTGGTAAGGTCCAACTGAACGTGCTGTTGGTACGAGCGTTATCCAGGCTTCCCTCGGAGCGCCTGATGGCTCCTGCGGCCCAGGCCGTGCCCGGAGCAGCCGGCGTGAGGACTGCCACATCATGCTCGGAGGAGCCCTCACGGCCTCGGAGGGCAGCAACACAGATCCACTGAGGGCCTTTTCACACGGCATCGTGGGGCTTTGTAGCCAGCTCTCCACATGGAGGATAGCAGAAAATTTAGTATACTTCATTCCGCAGTCATCCTTGCTTTACTGAATGGCAGAATTCTATTTATTAAAAAAACAAAAATAAAAGGCACAAAGGAAAAGAGCTAATGCTTGGGTTGATGCTGAAGAGGCTTTATTTGTGGAATTGGTGTGGCTTTCCCTCGGGTTTTATTACCTACATATATCCCTTTCAACACATATCCCTTTCACAGATAAGGAGTGACTATGTTCCTAATGATTTTTAAAACATGAGAAATCTCTGAGGACCAGGAATTTGTACATTAATCAGAACTAAGGATACCACAGAAACAAACTGGTCTTCCTGTTTTGTAAAACGCAATCCTGGATTCTTTAGTAAACCCATGAGCTTATTCCCCCTGCTCTGCTATTGTGACTAAATGCCTGGGGTTGGCAGAATATCCACCACCAGCATGTTGGGTGGAAAAAAATAATCTGCAACCCTGGTGGCAGCTTTGGGAGAGCGGAAATGGCCTGCTCGCTGCCCCTAGCTGAGTGTGACGATAGACGAGCGAGATGACAGTAATTTGGTGTGGGTTTGCCCTGCTGAAATGGTGGTGGTTGAGACAGGGAGTCGATTTTGTGTCTGTTCTTTAGTGTTTTGTGGGGCAGGATGAGCAGACCTTGGTGAAGGCCGCCCCTGCAGGTAGCTGCTGTTGGGAGCCGCACACGCCAGGCCCGCCTGCGTTCATGGGTGCCAAGTCATTGCACGCGCACCTGAGGCTACGTCTTCCACCAACTTTGGCCTGCCAAGCAATGCTCTGTTTATTCTATGAGTTTTTTACACCAAGCAGCGTTTTAGGGTGGACAGTTATTGTCCAGAAAGATAGTTTCTGCCAGGGTAGGCTTTGCATTAGGGAAAAGAGCATAAGCTTGGCCAGTAAAAGGATAGGTGTATATATGTGTGTGTGTGTGTATACAGAACACATATATACAGCAAAATAGATATACATGTGTATATGTGTATATATATTGTGTTTGTCAGAAGCGTGCATCAGTGTACCTGTAGCTGTGTTGCTTTAGCAGACAAACTTTGCAGCCCTTGCTTGCAAGTGTATCCTTTCTTGTGCTCCCTGGATGCGCTGGGGTCATCGTCACCCTCCTGCAGTGATTTACGGGGTGTCACATCTATCTGCGCCTCATCTTTAAGGGCAGCAGCGTGAAAAGTGGCGCAAGGCGCAGCAGTGCCCGCTGTTGCTACCAGAGCAAAGGGAGGTGCCAGCACAGAGAAAATAGCTCACACATCTTGATGTTTTTACACTGCAAATCTTGGGCTCTCTAAGAGAACTTAAACCCACCTCTGTTTATGTTGCAGGGTAAATATGCTCTGAAAAAATGGTATAAGGATGCTTGTAAGCGTTTTGAATTTACCGGTCGCAATTTAAATACTAAGGTAGAGTTTAGCTAGATCCTTCCCTGCTGTTCATTTTGTCTTGTTCCCGACACCTGTTCATTAAAGTGTAAAACACTGGATTTTGATTTAGTAATAATTTATGATTACTGACGTTCTAGAGAATTTCTCAATATATATTCTATATAAAGGGGATCCTATAGAAATTTCTGTAGTTTTCCTCTTAGAAAGGAGGAAATAAGTGAAGAAAATAGTGTGGTTAATCTTGAATTTCTTCTGATTTATTAGTTCCCAGGTGGGAATAAGAGATTTAGCTGATATAGTCAGTAACAAATGAGACTGCAGAATTAATAATTGAAGACAGCAGAATTAAAGAAAAAAGCAAAGTCTTGGTCCTTTGTATTAATCACATTTGCCTAAATATTTTAGAGGAAATTAGTTGTAATACTGTTAACACTATTTACTTTAAAAATTCAAAGTTCACTTAATTTAACTCTCTGAAAAAAAAAATCTGATATTATCTTTTCCTATTTTTCAAATGTTTTTCATTTCCCAGAATGTTACCTTTAGATTTGAAGGTTTCTGTAGTATCTATTCAAAAGTGCTTTTCCTTAGTTTCAGGCAGTCCGTGTGATGCTTCGTATCGGATAGATAATTTTATAAATGGGTAGTACTTGAGTTGCATTCGAGGGAGTTTGTAGAGAACTAATTTATCCAAACCTTAGAAGGTGAGTTGAGACTTCAGAAGTTAACCATATAAACCATAACTTTATACAAATAAAGTTATTTGTTGCCTTATTTTTAATGTGTAATGCTTTGTTTGCATACTGTATACAGCAAAGCAGAGCATATGCAGAATCTGCAACCCCATGAACATTGTGCTCAGAATGTTAATTTAGTTGTTTACAGTTCTAATTGTGAATCCCTGTTCTGATCAATGTTTTTAATTAAACTAAAATACACAGTAAAGTAGAAAGAGTCAAATATGGTGGGCTCTGCCCCTCACTTTGTCGAGCTGTACAAGGTGATGGTTTATATTTTTATGTAAGCAGAGTCAGTGACAGAAGATATTATTGTACTCTGTTTTTCATTTAGTAAAGGCTTTTCAGGGCTGGGTCCTGGAATTGCTCAGCTGTTACAGTGTTGAATGAATATTTTCCCTTGGATTTGTTAAGAGTATTAGTATATCAGTAATTCAAGCAGGTGTCTAAGAGCATTAAATCTAACTGTAAGTGTTTTGCATATAAATGCTGTCGTTCTCATGCAAAATCTAAATCTCTTGATGCATTATTTAATTTAAGAAAAGGAAAACTAAATACAACACTCAAATAAGTATTTCTAGTCAGAACCTTGAGGAAGAATACTTACTTAAATCAGGATTGTAGCTCCTGATAAAATGGTAAAAAAGTGTTTGCTTTGTGCTGGGAGCAGCTGTCCAGAAGTCCTGATGGGCAAAGAGCCCCCTGTGCCCGCAGGGCCCCAGCTGGGCCCCTCAGCTGCGCAGGAGGAGCCAGAGCAGCAGGGAGGGCTCCTGCGGTGTCCCCCATGGCCTAGGGTCAAAGCCAGCTTGGGGCCCGGTTCCTGGAGGAAGCTGGATGGAAGTGTGAGGAAGAGGAAGGTGGGCCCCAAAGAGGGGACTTGGAAATGCAGTGAGCAAATCTGTTTGAAATGCATGGTGACCACAGTCATCGGTTTAACTGGATGAGGAGGAGAGAAGTGACTTCCGAGGTAGCTGGTTGTCGGTCATTAACTGCTTTTTCATCAGTGTTACCCCAAGGACAGGTACCCAGAAGCCGACTGGGTCCAGCACAGATTTTGGTGTGTTGCTGCCTTGTTTTGCTTGGTCACCATGGTCTGCGACCTACCGATGACCTGAACCATAGCCCTTTAGTGACATGAAATTGGTGTAGACCCAGTCGGCAAAAGCCGGCCTTACTGAAACGTTTGTCGAGAATAATACTTGTAAATATGCCATTAGGAAGCAGGTTCAGGTGCAAAGGCAAGATTGCACCCACAGCATGCCTAGAACCCCTGGGGGTTCCTCACCTCTGTGGTGTGCAGTATTGCACCCGATTCTGGGCTGTTTGGTGATGGTCTGTAACTGGATGTGTCTTATTCACTGTTTGTGACTTAAAGATTGCGTTTCACATTTTGAGATGGTGCCCTAAATGAACTATTTAAAGCCCTGGTATTGCAGAGCTGTGCAGTGTCTTGGTGTAGCCTTCAGTAAATCCAGAGATGGGTGTATTTGTCCCTGCCCTGTCAATCCTTTTACTCCATGAGTAGCAGAACAGAATTAATGTTGAAACTGTAACATTTTCTGGCCTGTTACCGTTATGGCTTGTTACCACAGTGAGAGATACAACATTGTAAAAGATGCAGGAATATATGTGTAAGATTTTTTTCTGGCACAGTGCTCTTCGAGAAACTGTGTCACAGAGTTCTGCACGTTGACTTGCGGATGCCTCCTATGAGTCACAGGCATTTCTGCTTCTCATATCTACAGCCATGTGTATCTATATATTGCCTTTTTAGGACAGCATTAGAAAAATCAACGCTGAAACACAAACTTTCTTTAAATGTGTCTTGTGTTTCCTTGTTTGGTTGCCTTGCATTTTTCTCCTCCCTGAACTGCATCTTGACAGGCTTCCCCAGGTTCCCTCTCTTGCCTGGTGGGTGGAGGAGATTAAAGTATGTTAGCAGGTTACAGTCCACCAGTCGCAGGGCTCTGCCTGCGACCATGTTCCTTGAACATGTTCTGACTTCTGGTTCATTTTATGAGATATAGGTTAGGGAGCTATTTCCATAGAAGGTGGTTTTGAGCTAATGTGGTTTGGAGCACAGTCAGTAAATGACAAATCCAGTAAAAGAGCATGATTGCGTGTTCTTGGTGTTCACAGTTCTCTCTGTTTGATTGCAGACCTCAAAAGAAGATCTTTTACAAGCTGATTTTGAAGGAGCGTTAAAATTCTTCAGGGTGCAGTTGCCCAAGAGGTACAGAGCTGAGGAGAACGCTCGAAGACTGATGGAGCAAGCTTGCAACATTAAGGTAGGAGCAGTCTTCATTTCCTTTTTTACCCCTGACTTTATTCAGGGAAAGCAAAGTGTGATGCTAAGAATGGTGCTGGATGCAGTACCAAGGTCATCATTTGATCATTTTATGTTTATATGTGTATGTGTATTTATATGCATGTACAGATTTTTTTTATTTATTTAAAGGAAATGTAGCACTGAGCTTTTCCCCTTGGTCTGCTTTGGCTCAAGCTAATAATTAAAATGGAAAACTGATGCATAATCCAAAACTATTATCAGTGCCCCCGAAAGCATTAGCTGTTTTATAGTGCTAACATTACAACAATGAACCAGATGTCATGTCATCATGCAATGGTATGTTAGATGTTGTTTGTTTTATTTTGAGGCTATTTATTTGCAGACTGCTGTAGCTATATGTGAGTAGAAAGTTAGTTTCTTTTGTGTATGAAGTTTGCCAAGACAAAACATGTTTTTATGTTACGTCCTATCCAAGACCTTGCTATCAAAAGGAAGGCTTCTTTGAAGGTCTTGGGCACAAATATTGGTCATTTAATGAATGATGTCAAGTTACAGGATCCTGACTGTAGGCTTTTGGGACTGGGAATGTTTTGTTAAAAATGATTACAGAAGTATATAAAGCTGTCATTCAGAAGGCCTGGGATTTTTTTTTTATGGCCTTTTCTTTTGGAATATGTATAGTGGTGGATGGGCTTCCTCGGGAGAAGGGGGAAAAAAAAAAGTAGTTTTATTATTTCTTAGAGTTTGAGCTCTGGTGGGCAAGGCATGCTTGGCGTAGGCCAATGATGGACTGAGAAATATGATTAAAGAGTAAGTGTATCTAACACCATGTTTATCTCTCTCTCTGGTTTTATGTATATCTCTCTATATGTATTAAGCAATACACTAGTAGTAGTATTAAGCAATGCTCTACTATTGCTTAATTTAGTAGTTTATTAAGCAAGAACTTTTTCCATACTTGTTAAAACACTGACCCTGTGAAAGAGGAGGCTTTGCAGTACTGTTGTTTATTCCAGACAGAGAAAGGAGAGAAGGGGGAAAGGTGGTTTTGTGGGTTTTTTTGTTTTGTTTTGTTTTGTTTTTCTTTTAATTGGACTTGAGATTTGAACTCTGCTGCTGAAGGATGAAAGTATTTGGGAGTGAAAGACTACAATTGAATTTGATGTGCTTAGGACTATAAGATCGGTTCTTGAAAACAGGTAATTTAGAGATCAAGTACAGTCAAAATATCTTCATGCTGTGTGTATTCAGTGTGCATTTTTCTGATGCGAGATTAGAATAGAAGTCCTCATGGTATTTTTGAAAGAGAGATTGATGCATTTTCCTGAGCCTGTCTCACTTTGTTCTCCAACCATGTAGTGTCTGCCACATGATGGTATTTTTTATTAACTTTTAAAATGGTGTCTGGTATGTGTTTATATGCAATGCTTTGTGTGGAAAGCATTTTAAAATCCATTTGAGGCAGTATATTATGGTGCTATATGTGATTTCAGCACATGGGGCCAAGCAAAAGCAAAAAAGAGGTGAACTTGCTTTGCCGTGGATGGGAAGGCAGCGGGGGGGTTGTGCAGTCCCTGTTCTTGGAGACACTCAGATCCCGACTGGCCGCGTTTCTGGGCAGCCTGGTCTAGCTGACCCTGCTTGAGCAGGGGGCTTGGACTAGATGATCTCCATAGGTGCCTTCCAACCTCAGCTATTTTATGATTGTATAATTAGATATTATCATGATGGTATTTGCAAACGGGCTAATAATTACAAGAGCTGACGTGTTCAAATGGGAAGTCACAGTCTTGATAATTATCATTAGACAAGGTCCCGGGGACTGCAGAGGTCAGGTGAAGTAGTCGTCTGTCTTGTTGATGGGGCGAAACTTGTTACGTTCAGAAAACAGAAGCCTCCTGCATGTGTGTGTGTGCTGCAGTGAGAGCGAGCTTCTGTGCTGCTCCTTGCTCTGTATTCATACTTGTAGCCTAAACAGGAGGCATAAGAAAAAATTAGCACATCTGCAGAGTACATACAGCTATAAAGGCTGAATTTAGGAAGTTATTTGTCTAGACTTGTAGGGTAGATAGAGCCCAAAATCATACAAATTTCCCCTTCCCATCTACAAGACATTCTGCTACAAAAGCAGAAGGACATTCATGCTCTGAGGAGGAGGTCAAGATGTTAATTTAAGGGTTAATAAAAAGTTAATGAAGGATGAAAATTTATAGTTAACGAATAGAAGATTTTTACTTGGGTTTCCAGCTGTTTTTCTAGTCTGTAGTTGTTAAATGACCAAATCTTTTCTTTTACAGTGGCCTATACAAAGGGAAGGAGATGTTTCTCCTAGTGTAGCAGTGTAAGGTGGAAATCTGTTTGGGGATGAGAATTTTCCAGCTGCTTGGAACAGGCTGTGTGTTATGCTATGTATTATAAGGGACTGCCCTGATTTTCTATGTCCTAGAATGATTGACAGTGCTTTTTGTACTCATTTATATATTTATTTTCACATTCATCCTGTGACAAAGCATTCCAAAGGTTTTTCTATGTCTCTGGAATCTCTGCTTCAGGAATGAATGAAGAAGGAAAGAGCCTCTCCTAGGTTAATGAAAATTAAACTTAATATTCTGCTTTATTGAAGCACCTAACATGTTCTATATGCTCGGTAGACCTGCCTCAGCTGTTTCTCAGTGCAATATCTCATGTAAAGGTCTGTATATATCCTCAGAAAGGGGTATGCTCTCGATTTTAATTTTAGAAGTTTATCAGCTTTATTCTTTCACTTCAGTTTAGTCAGTTGAGTTGTAGAAAAGAGAAGTGACATTCTGAGACTTTTCTCCATATGAATATGCAGATTGGACAGTTTTTAGATAAATTAAGGCAAATACAACCTTCAAAACCGGTTACACTGCAGATGCTTGAAGTCTAAAGTAGTGATGAGGTAAGTGGGGAAATCACCAGGAACTGGCTGCAGGTTCTCCCCTTGCCTGCCTGGGACAAGTCACTCTGGAGAGGCCATGCAGCAACCAAATAAAGGAGCCACTGAAAAAAATGTTGGGATAACAGGACAGCAGCTGCAGTGTTGCCTTCTTTTGCGTGAACCTTTGCATTGAGTCCTTTTCTATTCATTTATTGTCATCGGTGGCAGGAAAAGACTTGGTATGTTGAGGTTCTTGTAAGAAGAGTCAAATGGCCTTGAAAAGAATTGGTGGTCAGTGGCATGGCCACCATGCCCAGTGCTGAGCATCCAGCAAGGGTTCTGGGCCTTGCCGAGCACACCCACCCCTGTGCCGAGGCCGTGCTGTGCTTTGCTAGCCGAGGGAGCAGGGACCACGCCAAGCCTCTTCCCCATCAGAAAGCCTTCTTGATGTGGTCGTAAAACGGAACTACTTAATGATGTTGCTGCTTAAATGCTCTAGAATCATCGAATCATCATGGCTGGAAAAGACCTTCAAGATCATCAAGCCCAGCTGTAGGGAAGGGATGCCCAGCCAAGGCCAGCCCAGGGAGCTGCACCCCGGCTCCCAACTCCCAACGCGCTGCCCAGATTCCCAGCCCGGGGGATGGTTTCCCCGTGCGTTCGGGGGCATGTGCATGGCAGCTCTGCGGGGCAGAGATGGAATCCAAACACAGATTTGGAAACTAATGCTGTACTGTGGTGGGTGAATTACTTTATCCGCACCTCTGCAGGCATGGTTTAGCAAGAAATTATATATCAATTTGTGTGAGTTTCAGTGGAACAGAATAAAAATAAGCTTGCTTGTTCTCTCCTTTTCTCTCTTTAGCACATTTTCTCTCTTTGTCTTAAGTACACACGTGTATATATATGTAATCTGGATATTCGGGGGCTTTTACTATTGAGAAAGGTGCTAAAAGAGCACAAATACAGCAGAAAAAATGAAAGGAGATAAGTGTAGAAAGGCTTTGAAATCGTACAAGCTTTTTATTGCTCTGGTTCTGCCAGTGAAGTATCTAACCTTCTAATGTAATGGACAGGAAGCGGGTGGGGAGGGCATATTTATCAGCCGCTGAAGAAAAGACCAAGTTGAGGAGAATTGTATTTAGATCCACAAACCCTGCTGAGCCAGTATGTGACTTGTTATTAAACGCTGCTGCTGAGATCCCCCTGCCCTGCGTGCACGGTTATTGCTGGTGAGCAGAACCCTGGTGTCTCGGGGAGGAGGGCTGTGCTCTGAGCTCCGCTCCAGCCTCCTCCTCTCTGTTTGGCTCTGTGGTGTTGCACAGAGCACTGAACTGGCAGGCGAAAATCAGAGCGGAGTGCCCCGAGCGCAGCCTGACCTTTAGCGTTGCTGTCATCTTGGTGAGGAGCTTTTGCTCTGATTTACTGATTCCACTTCTGCAGGCCTGGTTTCCTCATGTACGCACCTGCAGCCTGCGTTAGATAGTGAGGTTGTATTTTCTTGCTGTTTAAGCATTAATAAAACCGCTTGGCTTTTTTTCCATTTGCTTTGAGTTATCACTGTAAATTAAATCAGATATAGCATTAATTTTTATAGACTGAGAAAGAATATGATTTTTGCGGACTTAAAAAATAGAATATATTTGCCAAAGAGCTTATTTAGACTAACCAAAACTGTTATGATTTTAGGTTGAATCATTAATTGTTTTTCTAGGAGTATCTCCAAACTTTAATTTTGATTAAAATATATATATATATATATCTTCCATGCTCTTGGTGAAGGGTATTCTGGAGGCCGTGCAGAGAACAACAGAGTAAGTTCAAAATAAGATGCTTTCCTTCATTAAGACATTTTTGTGATGCAGAACAGAGTGTAGAGAAAAATAAATGTATTCCAAGATCAATACTTATGGATATAATGCAAAACAAACCCCAGGCTTTCACTTTGTAGCAGAAGACATGTAAGTAATGTATAGATATAGAAAGGCCTAGAAAGATCTATGCCCTGTAATTATGTTGACCAGAAAGAAGTGCTCAGTGTATTTTGATGTCTTCAGCAGTAACAAAAGTATTCAGGCTTAAATAAATCCGACTGC